TCTCCATTCCACTGGCATTTAAACTGAAAAATATTTTAAATTTATAACTTAATTTGTAAATAAAATCTTTATGATATTCCATCTTCCCAATCAAAAATTAGTACTTTTATTCAAAATTTAAAAAATATATATGACAATGTTTAATACATTGAGTGGCCAGATTATTATGACCGGCCAGATTATTATGACCACCCCATCAGTACTTTGTTGGGCCACCCTTTGCCTTCAATACTGCAGCAATTCTTCTTGGCATTGACTCCACGAGATGTTGAAAGGTGATTTGAGGAATCTGACACCATGCCTGATGAATAGCACTCTCCAGTTCTGTGAGATTTGATGGTTGTGGAACCAGATGCCTGATGGCTCTTTTAACTTCGTCCCACAAAATCTCAATTGGATTGAGATCTGGTGATTGTGGGGGCCACCTAAGCAAGATAAAGTCTCCCTCATGTTCTTGAAACCACTCCTGCACAATACGAGCACCATGGCATGGCGCATTGTCTTGTTGGAAGAAGTCACCTCCATTGGGATATGCCATCAACATGATAGGATGAACCTGATCAGCCACGATACTTAGGTATGTTGTGCTATTCAGACGTTGTTCCACACAAATTAAAGGGCCCAAATCATATCAGGAAAACATGCCCCAAACCATAACACTGCCCTCACCAGCTTGAAGGGTTGTACTCATGCATGTGGGGTACATGCTTTCATGCTGTTTCCGCCAAATTCTCACTCTGCCATCTGCATGATGCAACTGGAAATGTGATTCATTGGACCACATGACTTTTTTCCAATGCTCAACTGTCCAATCCTTGTGTTCCTGTGTGCATTGGAGACACTTTATCTTGGTAATTGCAGATAGCAAAGGTGTTCATACAGGCCTTCACCTTCCCTATCCCATATAATGCAGTGTACGGCTAATTTGCCTACAAATGTCAGGTGGTCATAATAATCTGGCCACTCAGTGTAGATTTTTATCACCTGGGCCACACATATTTCTCACTGTGATTATTTCTGAGTATCCTAAAACCATGGTTGCTGTACTGTATAGAAAGTTTGTTTTGATTATTTGATGATTATTGATAGAAGTATTGTTGATTATGATATAGTTATCTTTTACCCAGCCATTTTACTGAACTGCTATTTGTGCTTCTATGATTGATTTATTTCACTTAGCATAATACCTTCTAGGCCCATACATGTCGTCACAGATTGTAAGATTTCATTTTTTTAAATGGCTGAGTAATATTCATATAGATATTAGAGGCCTGGTACACAAAATTCATTCATGGGGGGTGGTCCCCTTGACCCAGCCTGCACCCTCTCCAATCCGGGACATCCCTCTCACAATCCTGGACTACTGGCTCCTAATCACTCACCTGCCTTCCTGCCTGATCACCCCTAACTGCCCCCCCTACCAGCTTGTTTGCCCCCAACTGCCTCCCTCTGCCGGCTTGGTTGCCCCTAACTGCCCCCCCTTCTGGCCTGGTTGCCCCCAACTGCCCCCTGCCAATCTAGTCACCCCTCACTGCCCCCCCTGCAGGCCTAATCGCCCCCGACTGCCCCCCCCGACGGCCTGGTCACCCCCAACTGCACCCCCTTGCTGGCCTGGTTGCCTCTAACTGCCCCCTCCCCCCACCGGCCTGGTCACCTCTTACTGCCTCCCCTGCCAGCCTGGTTGCCCCCAACTGCCCCCCTCTGCCAGCCTGGTCACCCCTAACCTGCCCCCCCCCCCACCAGCCTGGTCACCTCTTACTGCCTCCTCTGCTGGCCTGGTCACCCCCAACTGCCTCCCCTGCCAGCCAGGTCACCCCTCACTGCCCCTCTGCCAGCCTGGTCACCCCAAGCAGCCTGCTGTTCAGTCATTTGGTTGTCCCTCACTAACCCCCCTGCAGCCTGGTCATAGGCAGCCATCTTGTGAGGCATGAGGATTAATTTGCATATTATCCCTTTATTATATAGGGAGTAATATAATACTTTTTTGTCTACTTTTTTGTAGACACTTTTTTGTCTACTCGTCTATTAATGGGCAATTGGGTTGCTTCCACAACTTGGCTATTATAAACATGCTGCATTAAACATAAGGGTGCATATATTCTTTTGAATTAGTGTTTGGGGTTTCTTCGGATATTGATCCAGAAGTGGAATCACTGGGTTATAAGGCAGTTCCACTTTTTAGTTTTTTGAGAAACCTCCATCTATGTGTTTAATTTCTATATTTGCTTCCAGTCCTTGTAGAGAATTTGTTTTCTTGAATTTTAATTTTTACTCATTTTTAAGTTGTCTAAAGTAAAACCTTAAATAATTTTAAAATGAGGAATACTTAGGTGAGAGCTAGAAAATATCTAAGAATGTCTGTTGTCCTCATACATCAAATGATAACATGGATAGATATAGTAGTTTTGATTCACAAATTTTGCCTTAAAAACTTTTTGGATTTACTCCATTATTTTTTAGTCTTTGTGCTACTGGGGAAAAGTGAAAAACCAACCTGTTTTTTTGCTGCTTTATAGGAAACATTTTCTGTGCAGCTCATGTAGGATTTTTTGAGAATTTATGAAGTTGAAAAATACTAGGATAATACTACTGGTGGATCTCTCGTTTTGTTTTTTGTTTTTCTGGAAGAGGGTACTCTTTAAAAGACTCAGGTATTATATCACCTCAGGAAAATATTTTTATACTGTATTAGCTTATTGTCTATGCTCCATTTAATTTATTTTCTTCTTTTGGAACATCTATTCTCAATACTTAGGATCTCATCTTTGTTCTCCTTATGTCTCTCTCTCTTTTTTTTCCTATGTTCTTCTACATTTTGGGAAACCTTCTCAAATAAATTTGCCTTCTGAAACACTGATTTTATTTATTTGTTTGTTTGTTTTTCATTGAGAAAGCTGTATCCAGCCTCCAGAATGGATTTTATTTGAGTTACTGCATTTAAAATTTTTGGTTTCCTTGAGGAATTGCCTAGCATGTTTTCATTTCAATTTGTTTTCATTTTAATTTGGCCTGCTCTTTTTCTTTTTTTAATAGCCCATTCATTGTCATAGGCACAGATTTTTTTTTAAAAAAAAGATATAACTTTATCTAATAAAATGAACAAATCTTAGGTGTACAACTCAATGGAATTTTACATATGTATACACCCATGTGAGCACTAACCAAATCAATTATAGAACACTTTCAACACTCCCAAATATTTCTTTATCCTCTCTCCCCATAAATCCCTCACTAAGGTTAATCAATATTCTGATTTCTATCACCATAGATTAGGTTTATGTGTTTTAAAATTTCATAGAAATGGAATCACACATTATGTACTCTGTTGTGACACTTTTACTGCTCTGAACCTTCCATCGGGCCCCAGGCAATACCTGAAAAGTCCTCAGTATATCCTATTTAGAGTATGTCAGCTATTTTACAAGCATCAGAGGAAAAGAGATGGAAGGCACCATCACATATGGCGATTGCTAGTGGCTTTCTATGATTTTTTTTTTACCAATGTAAATCTTGATTGTTAAGAGATCTTATGATACAATCCAATATGAAAAGCAAAAATGGGCTGTGCTAATTAAGAAAAGGAGTAGCACCAGAGAGTCCAGCTACTTCCCAGTACTTTTGGCCCTGAAAGGGCTCTATGGACTGCTTAGAGCTTGGAGTAGCATGCATTCTAAATCATTATCCTAGACATCAATAAAGGCTATTTGTGCAAGGCTGAAGAATAATATGAGAAAGGGCATCGAGACATCTCAGCATAACTAGAATGTTTGAGTTCTGACTTCAGGCATTTATTTTAAGGATACACTTGATTGTTATTGTCTATACTTAGCACTCACTCTTTACCCAGTCCTATCCTAGGCAGCTACTGAGGGAGTTCCATTAAACTGTGTGATCATTAAGACCTCTGTCTTCCATTATGTTAAATTTTTATATCTTCATAAACATCCTTAGAAAGTTTTCCTTACATCAAATATTAAGATATAGCTTCCAATTATGACCACGATAGAGTATATCTATTATGGGCTATCTCTCCTCCTGATTACAACTAAAATCTCTGGAGAAAAATACACAAAAACAATGACTGAGGGCTATTAAAAGTAAATAAAATCAGGTCAATTGTGGACTGGAGTCAAACTTAAAGAAGCAACCTATTTGAAAATGAGTTTTCCATTATTTCCCTTCTTTTCTCGTATGGCTTTGCCCCAAGAACAGGCCCCAAGTACACAGCTGCTAAGTTAAAACTCTAAAAGAAACCTCATGTTTTGCACAGAAAAACTGAGAAATAGGTACTCTGTGGGGCAGAGAGTATAGGAGGAATCCAGGAGAGAAGTGAGCTGGAGAAGAAGATGTAAGAAACAAGATAAGCCCCCAGTTTACCCTTGAGCTTCATATACATGGGATAGACCAAATCAGCAAACATTTTGAAACTTGAACTAAGTGTTAAACCACCAACCAGGTCTGAACCAACCTCTTAGAGATGTACATGTTGAACATACCCAAAGCAGCATCAATAAGGTTTAAAAAACCGAACTGAGATTGGAACCGCTGCCCACAGAAAGTAATTTTTTTTGCTTCTAACAATCTGTTTATTATTTATTTTTTCTTCCATTGAACCACCCCACACTGAGGTGGTTATTTGGAGTGGTATTATAAGCTGGACCCTGGAGTCTGAAATCTCAGGTGCCTTCCTCACTCATTTTGTGGCTTAGGTTGGGGCATAGTCCAGGCAGAATTAGTGTCTCCTTTTGGATACTGCACAATGGGAACTTAGGTGCATCCATAAAGGTGGCCACAATCAGGAGGGTTGATTGGCAGGCTGGAAGACAAATTATTCCAATAAAGGCATTTTTTACATCAATAGGGAGCTAGGAGTTGGCTGGACATGTTATAGGGGTGGAGGAGTTAATTTAATGAAGGAGTTATTTGCAGGTTGCAGAGAGAAATTAAGGGAATTCACTATGCTGGGCCATCTGCAGGTCAGTAGAGGTTGCTGTATGTCTTTACTGCCACAAGGGGAAAGAGATAGCCGTATCATAGCCAAAGAGGCATACAGCGAATAGGCCCATAACCCCTTCGATGGTTGCAGAGCGGCTTCCTTTCAAAGAAAGGGCAGGAATGGAGGTGATCAGGTAGAAAATCGCTGCTGCAAAGCTTCGGAGGAAATCACACCAGGGCCAGATGATCCAGGATATGTTGTTTTGCAGGCCACCTGAGTAGACGATAAAGAAGAAAATACCAAGGACCAACTCAGCCTTTGACAGGTGGTAGTATTCTGCGGCACGGAAGTAGCACAGAACCACTATGCAGAATATAATCTCAGCTATCAGGAGAACTGCCTTTTGGGTGCGCAAGAAGTTGGTAAAGGTGGTCCCCAAGCTGGGGGATGAGGTGCGTTGGGGATCCACCATGGTGTCAGCAACAGTCCTTGGGGGGTGAAGAGGATCTGCTCATTTGCTGGCAAGTTTGAGGATGCTGCACACTCCGATGTCTTGCCTGCTGTCTAGAAAGTGATTATAAAAACTTACAGTCTGCAGCTTATGGGTTGATTACCTGATAAAACAACAACAACAATAATAATAACATCCCTTAGAGAATTTTAACAGAATTCATGTCTACAAAATTTAATATTCAAAAAGTTTAGAATACAATCCAAAATTACGTAAGCAAAGGACAAGGAGAATGTGACCAATTATCAGGGGAAATGATAATCAACAGATACCAACCCCAAGATGACATAGATATTGAAATTATAAGGCAAAGGCTTTAAAGCAGATACTAAAATAAATTCCATGAGGTAAAGACAAACACACATGAAATAAGTGGAAAGATGAAAGTTCTTAGCAAAGACATTACATTTTTAAAAAGCACAAAACTATTAAAACATACATTCTACTGGATGCGCTTAAAGATGACAGAGAAGGGAGTCAGTGAACTTGGAGAAAGATTAATAGAAATTACCCAAATTTGAAGAACAAGAGAAAAAAGATTGTAAGAAACTGAATAGAACTTTAGGGAGGCATGAGACTACATAAAAACCTGTAACACTAATAACAAAAATATTGATGCTGAAAATAATTGGTCATAGGATATTTGGGGAAACAATGGCTGAAAACTTTCCAAATTTTGGTGAAAGACTTGAAGATTCAAAAAGTTTACTGAAAGTAAAACAGAATAAACTCAAAGAAAATCACACCTAGACACATTATAATCAAACTACTGAAAACTAAATGAAAAAAAAATAAAATATCTTGGGCAGGGTCCAAGTTGGTGGCATAGGAAGATGCTGAATTCACCTCCTACCATAGGCACAGCAAATGTACATCTACATATAAGGAATTCCTTCTGAAGAACAACTGAGGCTGATCAAACAGCTTCTGCACAACAAGTGATAGAGGGACCATATAGAGAAGGGTAGAAGAGATGGAGACAAGGTAACTATTGGAGATTTAGCCCCATGCTGAGTACTCCAGTAGATGGGGAAATCACTGAGGGGCCCATGAAGACTCACCAGCACTGGGGCACAGCAAAAAAAAAAAAAAAAAAAAAAAAAAATTACTTTAGGCTGTACATAAAGGATACCAATCTACGAACCCTACAGTACCTGCCAAATGAATGGGGAACTGTTGGAATTCTCTCCAGGATCAGAAGTGCGGGCAAACACCATGTTCTACGTTCCCCTACCACACTGAAACCATGAACTGGAGCACTTTCCAGGCACTCGAGCTGCCTTGCCAACGCTGCCCCAGTGCATCCCAGACTCCTGACTCTCACCAGCTTCAGCAGTTTCCCTAAGGCCCCAGCATGTCCCAGGAACGCCAGTCCAGCTCCAGTCATCCCGCCAGTCTGACCCTAGTGTGGAGCACCTGAAACCCCTTGACTATGCCGGCTCCAGCTCTGGGCATCTTTTCTGGGCAGTCCTAGTGTGGAGCACTGTTGGGCTCCCTGACTGCTATCTGCTCCAGCTCCAGCTGGCTTGTCGGAGCTGCCTTGACCCCTACATAGGGGCCACTCCTTCAAGACCGGGAGAGGTAGCTGTTTTGTCGCATTCATAGAAACAAACACATAAAGTCAAATGAAATGAGGAGACAAAGGAGTATGCTCCCAACAAAAGAACAAGATAAAACTACTTAAGAAACCTAATGGTGTTTGCCCGCACTTCTGATCCTGGAGAGAATTCCAGCAGCTCCCCATTCACTTGGCAGGTACTGTTAAGAAACATAATTTATGTGCTATAATTGTGGGAGAGATGCAACTGGCATTTAGTGGGGAGAGGTCAGAACTCTTGCTAAACATTCTACAATGCACAGGACAGCTGTCCAGAACAAAGAATTATCTGGTTCAAAATATCAGTAGTAGTAAGGTTAAGAGACTTTTCCCTAGAACAAGAGAGAGAGAGAGAGAGAGAGAGAGAGAGAGAGAGAGAGAGAGAGAGAGAGAACAAAAAAGTAGAACAAATACAAAACATATAGCAAAGTAATCGGTGATCAAAGTAGTCAAATGGGATTAAAAATCTCCATGTGGGTCCCAATAAACCCAGTTTAAATATAAGGACTTAGGTAAAAAGTAAAAGAATGGGAAAAGATATACCATGCAAACAAAGATAGAGTGGCTATTTTAATTTCAGACAGAGTAGACTTTAGGACAAGGAATATTACTAGAGATATAAAAGGCATTACAGATTTATAAAATGATCATTTTACCAGGAAGACATACAAACCTAAATGAGTATGCCTCTAATAACAAGCTTTAAATAAAATACATGAAGCAAAAACAAACCTTGAAATTTTTAATTAAAATCATACAAATTATGTTAATTGACCATAATAAAATTATAAATTAACAGCAAAACAATTCCCTTTTAGTTCTGCATGTGAATGTCAAAATGTTTGATCACCAGTTGTTAAAAATACTATTCTTTCATCATTGAATTTCTTTGTCACTTTTGTTGAAAATCAATTAACCATTTTTCTTTGCATCTATTTCTGAACGCTTTATTGATTCTACTCCATTGATGTAAATGTTTATTTTTACCAGTTCTACACTGTCTTGGTAACTGTAGCTTTATAATGAGTTTGAATCAAGTATTCTAAGTGTTCTATTTCAAAGTTGTTTTGGCTATCATAGGTACTTTGTTTATGGAAATTTTAGAATCAGCTTGCTAATATTTACAAAATACTGTGCTGACATTTTGATTGAGATTGCAAAAAATCTATAGATCAATTTGGGGAGAATTGACATCCTCATAATATTAAGCCTTCACATCCATTAACACTATTCTCCCCATTTATTCGGGTCTTTTTTAAATTTCTTGCATCAATAGCTCATAATTATAGCAATATTTTGTTAGATTGTATCTAAATATTTCATGTTTTATATGATTGTATTGAGTATTCTTTCCATTTCTAATAGCTTTTGCATGTTTATAGAAGTCCCACTGATGTTTGTATATGGACCTTGAATCCTGTGACTTTCCTAAATTCACTTATTAGTCCCAGTAGCTGTTTTATATATTCTCTGGGGTTTTCTATGTATTGTCAGCCAATAGAGACAGGTTTATTTATTTATTTTCAATCTGTATTTATTGTACTTCTTTTTATTGTGTTATTGCACTGTTTTGGCCCTTTAGTACAGTGTTGGATAAAAGCAATGTAGGTAGACATCCTTCACTTGTACCAGGTCATAGGGGAAAACATTGTCTTCCACCATTATGTTAGTTATAGGTGCTCTCTATTACAATAGGGAAATTTCTTTCTATTCTTGGTTTGATGAGGTTTGTGGTTTTTTTAAAAAAAAAAACACCTGTTTTTAATTTTTAAATTCAAATATGGATGCTTTTTGGCATTTGTTAAGATGACTATGTGGTTTTTCTCTTTTGTTGTTGATATGGTAAATTACATAGTTTTTAAATTGTTAAACCAACATTTCATTTCTTGGATAAACCCCCAACTTATCATGAAGTATTACCTTTTTTATATATTGCTAGATTTACTTTAGTAACATTTAAAAAGTATTTTTGTGTGTCTATGTTTATATTCTCTTTCTTTCTCCTTTTTTTCTCCCTTTTCTTTATTGTTTATTTCACTATCTTGATAATGCTAGACTCATTAATGAGTTGTGAAGGATTTTTTCCTTTACTATTTTCTGGTAGAGTTTGTGTAGAATTGTTATAATATTTTTAAATGTTGGCTATAACTCACAAGTGAAAGCTGGAGTTTTCTTTGTTGGCAGTTTTAAGACATAAATTCTATTTCTTTTGTACATATTAAGGTTATTCATGTCTTCTTTATTTTTATTATTTATTTATTTATTTGTTTGGTTTTTAAATAAATCTTTATTGTTCAGATTATTATAGTTGTTCCTCTTTTTCCGCCCCATAGTTCCCCTCCACCCATTCCCACCCCACCCCATGCCCTTACCCCTCCTCCCCCACTGTCCTCGTCCATAGGTGTATGATTTTTGTCCAGTCTCTTCCTGCACCCCCCACACACCGTTCCCCCTGAGAATTGTCAGTCCACTCCCTTTCTATGCCCCTGATTCTATTATATTCACCAGTTTATTCTGTTCATCAGATTTTTTATTCACTTGATTTTTAGATTCACTTGTTGATAGATATGTATTTGTTGTCACTTTGTTGTTCATAATTTTTATCTTTACCTTTTTCTTCTTCTTCCTCTTCTTAAAGAATACCTTTCAGCATTTCATATAATCCTGGTTTGGTGGTGATGAACTCCTTTAGCTTTTTCTTATCTGTGAAGCTCTTTATCTGACCTTCAATATTAAATGATAGCTTTGCTGGGTAGAGTAATCTTGGTTGTAGGTTCTTGCTATTCATCACTTTGAATATTTCTTGCCACTCCTTTCTGGCCTGCATAGTTTCTGTTGAGAAATCAGCTGACAGAAGTATGGGCACTCCCTTGTAGGTAACTAACTGTTTTTCTCTTGCTGCTTTTAAGATTCTCTCTTTGTCTTTTGCCCTTGGCATTTTAATTATGATGTGTCTTGGTATGGTCCTCTTTGGATTCCTCTTGTTTGAAGTTCTCTGCGCTTCCTGGACTTGTAAGTCTATTTCTTTCACCAGGTAGGGGAAGTTTTCTGTCATTATTTCTTCAAATAGGTGTTCAATATCTTGCTCTCTCTCTCTTCTTTTGGCACCCCCATAATTCAGATGTTGTTATGCTTGAAGTTGTCCCAGAGGCTCCTTGCACTATCTTCATATTTTTGGATTCTTTTTTCTTTTTGTTTTTCCAGTTGGGTGTTTTTTGCTTCTTTGTATTTCATATCTTTGACTTGACTCTTGGGATTCTCTAGTCTGCTGTTGGATCTCTGTATATTATTTTTTATTTCAATCAGTGTATGCTCAATTTCTAATTGGTCCTTTTTCATATCCTTGAGGGTTTCACTAAATTTC